GGCTCACATGTCCAGGTATCTTAGCAAAACAGAATATATTTCCTACCAGAAAGGGTCTGCAGCTCCTAACTCCAAGCAGGTTACAGGCTCCATTGTTGGTGAAACAAACACATAAAAAAAGACTACTACAAACTGTCAAAAGATATATTAGCTAAGCTCTATGATATGCATTCCATAGGAATAACTGTCTATTATTAAAGGTTCTCTGTGTGCACTTAATTTGTTCATTAGTTTAATCTTCATAGCCTTATCTAACAAGAAAAATGCACTTGTTGAATACAGATCTCTAAGTCCAATACAGAACTTGACATAGTCCAGGTTTCCAACCTGTAAAGAAAATAAATTTAAGGCGAATCTCTGAAACCCACTCAGAGTGAAAACAGACAGAGTCTATCACATTTTAAAAACAGAAGCACAGCCAGGGACCCTATTTCGTCACCTGATGTTTTGTTTATAGCTAAAAATTTGGCATCTACATCTTTGTACCCTCTTTCATCCCTTCCATTTACCGACCTGGACCTTAGGATTGGGATCACTGCTGGACTGGAGAAATCATTTCCTTTTCATATCTTACCAAATCTGCTCCAATTTCTTCTTTTTCCTTTTCATGGGCCTACTTTTGTGAGCATTATCTTCTAGCACCTCTGATTTCCAACAGCGATATTCCCGGGAGGAAAAGGCAGGCTCTGCTATAGGACCTTGCATCTTTTCTGCATGTAGGAGGTGGAAATGCAGAACACAAAGGAGAAGAGGAAGCCAAGGAATGAAAGCCAGAGCCCTGTTAGGGATGTGGGAACAGGCTGGTAGAAGAGTAAAAGCTGGAGCACGTAGTGGGTGAGTAGGTGGAAGGAGGGAAACGCAAACTCTCCCTGCTCCGTCATGTTGGCACCCGACTGCCCCAACCCCGCAGCACCTCAGCATCTTTAACCATTAAACAGCAATTGTCCCCAGCCATAACCTTGAAATTCAGTAAATCACAGGAAAAAAATAAATAAAAAAAAAGATTTTGTTGAATCACTGTTAGTGACATACCTAAACAGCACTCCCCTTTTAAAGTATCAGTCTGTTTTTTGAGTCTTCTCAAAATGACTATTCTGAGACTTTAAAATCCAACACGTACTTAAAGGACTTGCTAAACCAGACACTGGGCAAATCTTCCTGCAGCTCTGGCTCTGAAAATTTACAGCAAAATTTACTCGATTATAAAAATAAAGGTACTAAAAAACCTTCTCAGCTCAGAGGCTCTATGCAACCTACAGCATCAACTACTTACGTAAGACCAGAACAAGAGCAAGTGATAATCACACACAGCAAAATGTTCACACGACACTTGTGTTACCATTGACTTATTTCTCGTGTGTGTTAATTAAATCTAGGTCAATTTAATCCGGGAAATACACACTCATGCTGACTTACAGCTTCACATGCCGAGCTGCCCAGCTGATATCATGGTATTTTAAAGAAAAGCAATCCCAGAGCTGCAWAGAAGAGCTCCTGAGTAAAAAGCAAGCAGAGAATTCAACAAAAGCAAAATTAAAATTAGAGGGAACAAGTCAGAGTCTGCTGCAAGCACTGGAAAAATGCAAGAGTCATTGCACTTCTTACAGACTTCACTTTCCCCTCGCTTCCTTTTCCGAGGGGCACAAATCACTCTCTGCTGTGGCGAGACTGCAAGCCTGAGGCTTTGTGGAAGACAAATTATGCTTGGGGTCATTAGACCAAACTTCACTCTGCAGAAGCACAACTAGATTCTAAAGCTGGGAAACCGAAGGKTTACAGAGGAGCACTTCCCCTTCGCTGCACTCGGGAACAGCAGCTCTTTCTTGGAGCCATTTTCCTCGCCTGCTTCACAAGGCGTCGCARAACATGGAGCTGGCAGGCGGATTAYGTTACTACCCCGCGCTGCATTTGAAAACATCAACTACTGCAAAACACAGCTGTGCTGTTACGGAGGCCAAGTTACTTGCAARGAGCATAGTACCCCCTGTTCAACAAACTAAGCTGCTGYTTCAGAGCCCTCTCTCCTCCAACAAATGCAGCAGCCGAGCGCTGCCAACGCCCCATAGCTAAAATTGCCCAATTTAACACAAGGAAGCAACAGGCTTCGGCACAAGACCCTTGGCTTTGGATTTCCCTCCTCTCGCACTCGAGCATTACAGAAACCTGGAGCAGGCTGGGCAGCCTACCTGTTTTCCAGAGCTTTTCCAAATCAGATCGGTGCATTTAGAAACAACTGTTAACTAGATGGTTATTGAGTAGATAAGAATGAAGGAGAAAAAACTGATAGATACTTCTAAAAACATGCCATCCTTCAYGCAATGTCCTATTCCATCTGCACTGCAAGACAGTGTTTACTGCACAGTTTTAATTTAGAAGACACAACAAGCACCCTCAGGAATGCTACAACTGGAGAATAAACACTGCTAGCATCTCTCTGCAGCGTGGACAATCTGGGAGTGCTCTACTGCAGCTCTCCATTTCGGCCTCCAAAGAAATATTTCTTGTCAGAGAGGATGCAAAAGCCCGTTCACGAGCTCAATACTGCAAAAAAGAATGTTTCAGAGGTTGCAAAATTTAAATTTAAAAGCATTTTCTTTTAATGGAGGACTCTGACACAGCTGAAAATGGAAAGCTCCTCTGATACACAGAAATTTGAAACRTCACAAGTGTAATTAGGTTTTTTTAAAAAAATATTTACACTGCAGCTCAGACCGCTTTGCAGTCGAACCCAGGCAAAACTGCAACAACGGAGAAGTTTTTGTGCCTGCTTTTTAATGATTGTATCCTAATTACAGCAGAATTTCACCCCTTCCCAATGATGACTAGGAGAATCATTGGAAAATACACGGTCCTGCAAATTAGCAAGTAAGTGAACAATAAACTCCCCCCGAGGCTAATGCATCACCAAACACACTGCATTCATTTATTTGTGAAGGGTAGTTTAATTACTTGTAAAAATAATGACTCCTTTGTACAGGCTCTCACTAGCATGCGCTGCTGGTCGCTATTTTGCTGAGTGGTACAAACTCTGTGCCAAATTTGTGCGCATGGAGAATACAGCGCGTGCATAAGCAGAGCACAGAAAAGAATTATACAGCATCCATTGTGTTTGGACAGCACATACATGATATATAGTCTCTTCGTCGAATTTGGCTGTATCTCTATATTTTGAAACTCAGGATTTCTGCTTTCAACAGGGATTTTTTTAGGCCTAGAGCCCACCTCCTTGCAGGACACACTGACACTGAGAAGTTASCGTGGTGGCCACTGCATCGTCCCAAGCTGCCAGCGCTGCTCAGTGGCCCAGAGCCTGTCATGATGCTCCACAGTACTAAGGAGTTTCTCTCAGCATCCCTATCTGCAGTGTTTTATTCAGATGCTGAGGTTTGGGGACCATTGGGATAGCTGGCAGGGCAGTCAGATCTGTCATATTTCTACCCAGGAAAAACAGYGATAATTTCCAACTAAATAGTTCATGGATATGCCAAGAAGAACAGGAACTGGGATCCTGCTGGCAAGGGGACTAAAGATGCTGCAGAATCTTATTTTCAAAGATGAGCTGTGAAGGTCATTAGAAAGATTCCTTGGACTTCATGAGCAGTGTCCATTAAAGCGAACAGTATGGGGCAATACCACGAAACCCAAGTGCCAGATTTTCCACCGACAAGGAACTGCCATCCTATTGTTGGTGCCGGTTGTGAAATCCTCACCAAATACATGAACTGCTGTTGTAATACTTTTGTTTACTTCCCATTTCCTACTAAATTACCAGTTTTACTCCTATTCAGACAACAGCATTTACTGCAACCTATACAGTTTGGGCCGATTTAACTCTCCTGGCTGTGTATAAATTCTGTTATGCTGCGAGTCTCAGACAGGAAGGTTTTAACACTATGTGACCTCAATATTAATCCTGGACAGAGAAGGTCAGGGTTTAGTTTCTGTCCCGTGCTACACTTCTCCCTTTACCTGCACTTTGCATGTGGGTTGGCATTATTAAATAAGAAACATGAAACTTAAATGCAATCATATCAGCAGAATGTTATTTTTACCTACCAAAATACTAGAGAAAACAGAAGGATTTACAATTTATAAAGTGAAACAATTTTGAATGATATTGTGAACAGAAGAGCAGAMTCCTATGTTGGGTTGTTCAACATAAACTCTAAGCTATCTAAAAATTCAAATTAGAAAAACTGAGTTACTAAGTAGGGCCTACAAGAAATAGGCATGAGAACAACACAAATGCAGACTAAATCTTTCCTCTTTTACAAACAGCCCCCTCAGGACTTAGTTAAGCTCTTTGCCTTTATCAGCYTCAGCTTTTAAAGCCTGCTCTCCAAACATTTGCTATTCAAAAATAACTTGTCAACTTCTGAAGGATTCCTTATTAAATCCCGCGGTAAAYGCGCATGTGAACAGTTGCTACTGATTAGTAAGTTCTAGCTGCTTCTCATGACCATTAGTAAAAGAGAATAGTTCCTGCTTTTAAATATTTATATTACTTTTCATCTAAACCAGATACTGGTAGTTATCTATACAGTATGGTACCATATTTCAATAAAATAACCACGGTTTCTCATAACCAACAAGTCCAAAAGTGCTCTATAAGAATGCACCAGTAGCAACTACCATCGCAATGCCTGCCAGCTCTTCTCTTTTGAACAGCTGCACTCGTTCAAGAAAGAGCCTTTTCACTCATGTTTGCACAAGATTTGTCCTTAATTAGTCAATATTTCAGTGAGTCATTTGGGCTTTAAGGGATGGCTGGAAACAGCACTGCAGCCAAACAGAAAAGGAGAATTCAACATTGCCACTGCACTTGCAGAAGGCCTAAGGGCTTGCCCCATTGTTTCCAGCAATAAAGGTAAAAATAACATTATCGAAATGATGTCTTTAAGGGTAGAGTTCAGCTCATAGGTGTTATTCAGTGATAACGTAAAGACAAGACTGACCCACAGAATGGGCAAATAGCGGAGGAAGCAGCAAATCATCCTTACTCTGTCAAAAGCTGGTGCAGCTTCAGGTAGCCCCTCTCCAAGGCCAAGCTCACCGGCGTCGCCCCCTCGCTGTTGTGGATGCTGAGGGCTCCTCTTCCTCCCGGCTGCTGGAGCAGGAACCACGTCAGCCGCAGCAGCCCCAGCCTCGCTGCAAAATGCATCAACGTCTCCCGAGGGGTGTTCTCTGGGAGGAAGGAAAGGAGAAAGGTGGTTGTAGTTTATGGGGTAGGTGGGTGCCCTTTCCCCACATTCCAGCCCTGGAAACAAAGCCAGGAGGACACGGACACGGCGTGACAACTGGCATTGACCATTGCAGGTAGAAGCCAAGCAACACGAAYGCTGCACCTGGAAAAACACAAGCTGGACAAGTGACTGCTAACAGCTAGAAGGGAGTCCTGCTTCAAAGAGGGAACCACCACGGCAGCAGTGGAGGTRCTCAGGACTCGTGGGATGAGACTGAGCACAGAAACCAACGTGAAAAAGCCCATTCCTWGGACGGCCACAACTACAACGTTGCAGGACCTGGCACATCCAGGTGGGTTTGTCTGTAGGACCAAACATCTTCCTTACACACAGGATCAGAACTTAGGAACAGTTTTGAGACAGCAATTCACCCCAAGGCACACAGGCAGAGAAGAAGGAAAAGGTACATTTAAAGCACAAATGGCAAGTAATATAGGAGAACCATTTAGCTTTTCTTGCCGGTAAAAAGTGAGGATTTTGCCTTCCCTGTTTGATTTTGCCTTAGCTTTTCCTCCACTTTAAACAGTAGCTATAGTACTCTGAGCAGCAGCATTTTATAAACTAGTAATCTCCACTACTACTTTCTATGATTAATAACCATGGCCTTCTAATATGGTAAAAGTCACTCTTGAGGCTACGCTTTCATCTTAGAAAAATAAACCCCTATGCTAAAAGCTGCAGCCTTAGAACTTTGCTCTGAAAAGCTTCAACCAGAAATGAGCTCCAGGTGAACTGCTGAAATACAGTGTTTTCAAAGTGTATTAGTTCTGTATAGAGGGCAAAAACATTTGGGTTAAAAAAAAAGTAAATATAAATATTTTTTCCTTTGATTAAAAAAGATTTTGAGTTTGGACTGGCACCACCAATAAAAAAAAACAAACAAAACACAAAAACACCCATTGGGTCTCAGTAAACCATGCCAGTGAGAACGCTTCTATAATATCTTGACTATTACAGCAAAGATTTATTGGGTTATTAATTTGGTTGCCAGCCAAACCTATGCAGTAGATTTTAAAATGCAAGTGCATAAGGGCTTCTAAGATTTAATTAAGCAATTTTTTCCCTAGAAGTATGCCACAAGAGAAATCACTTCTGAAACATATAGCTTGGGGATTCCATTGCTTTGCTTGCTTACTTGCTTTCTTAAGGGACATCATTAAGAACCTGAGTGGAAAACAAAGCAAAAAGGGGAGTTCTCCCCTGCCTGCCATGCACTTTTTCCCAAGCTTCTTGGATCAGTTCCTGCAGAACTAATCTGTATTCAGGAACCAAAGAGCTTTCTGGCACCAGCTCTCTTCCATATGACTCCAAATTAGGTCTCTGGGCTACAAACCAATCCTTCCACCCCAGTCTCCTCCTGATTAGTGTAAAGCAAAACCACGCTGTCCTGAATGCATGAGCATGTCTGAATGGAGGTTCCAGCTGATTAGAGAAGAAGGATATAGCTGAGCTCACTCAGAGACCTTTTCTCAGCCTGTGGGAGCATTAATGGCAAGGATTTGGGAATTAAGTGCTGTAGAGTGCAACGCTTTAGAAGGAAACAAGACAGCAAGGTAGTTGATAACGGACCTTCAGTCCTGGACAGCAGGAGTAATGAAAAATAGCAAGCCATAAGGACAGGCACAAGGGAAAGACTACTGATGAGACTAAAGAGGAGCTAGCAAGTGTGGATACGAGTAGGACTTCTTCAGAGCAAAAACACATGCCCAAGAGCTTACTCAGTGGACTTGTACTAGCACAAGATCTGCCCTGCTTTACCCACACTAATAAACTGGCAGAGTTAGCTAGAATGATTAAAATGATACAGGTCTTCCTGCTGTCGATGCACTTATTCCACAGTAAATTACTGCATCACGAAACATCTCAAAATGGTTGTCCTCTGAATGTCCATACAAAGATCCCTATAACTAGGAAATTTTGGAAATATAAGGCATGCAATACTGGGAAGGCCAAAGTTGTTTTGTTCCTTTCTCATTTCCTAGTAATAGGCAAGAGTTGAAACATATGATTATTATCCCATAATGGCAGGGCACTCTAATCCAGCTGGCAAAACATAAGATTTTAGATGTATTAATTTTATGTAATTTTTTTTCAGCAGTGACACATGAGCAGACAGTTTGTCTGGGTAACTAAGGACAAAATTTCCATGGAGGATGTCATATGTACTTTGCTAACTGTAAAGGATTAAAGCTCACTCTGCTATTAACACAAAACAAATAAGCACTAAAGAAATAAATGTTTGGGTATGACAAATCTGAGAACACACAAACTGCACCCTAAATAAGAACTCAATTTTAATCCTAATTAAATAACAGAAGAAAAAGCCACTACTTTTAAAATCACTCTTTATTTAGAGTAAGCCACACCTAGCATCTCGCTTTATCCTCCATCTCCCGAGATAGCTTGTAAAGGAAGAGACGTTACAGGGAGTAACTTACCATTAGTCTTTCTGTAGTGTTTTTTCTGCCTCTAAGTCACATACACTTCACAATTTTGAAATCTACCAGCAAATTTAGCTTACAAGTCTTGTTCCCCTTTCTTGTGCTGGAAGGTTTCAGTGCTTAGACCAGCCCTCGAGAAACACAGCGAGGAAGAAGCAGAAGCCTTCACTGAACTCTGAAATCCCCAAAGGCTCTATGAGAGGCAACAGTGCTAAAGAAAAGTCAAGGAAAAGAAATGGTGTTTGGAGTTACCAGTACAGTTGATGAAATTCTGGTTGGTAATTCTATTTTAATCTTCTAAATAAGATTTCTTTTTTTTTTTTTTTCAAAGCACTTTGCAAGATCTTGATGTCCCCACTCCTCYTAGTATCAAAGGGAACAGAAACTCTCTCGCAACAACAGTGACTTCTCAGCCACAGATTCTCCTACTGAGCAGTAGATTTTGAAAAGACTGCCTGAACAAAAATAAGCATTTTCTGGTTCCTGTTTCCAYGTGCAACTGCAGAAGGCATTAAACTTGGGTATGAAAATGGGTTTTTCATCTTATCTAGGACTGTAGTGAGGCCAACGCACTCAGACTTCATGCTGCTGTTGTCACAGAGAAGATCATGTTGATGCATTTCGTGCAGTACTTTATCACTAGGCAGAGATGAAAGGTGAGGAGCAAAGTGAAATGGATATGAAATCCAATGAAAACATACCAGCAATTATTACAGTTTTTCATACCTGAGCCTCAAACTCAGTGGAACACGAAAAACACAACCCTTACCAATACTTCCAAATGCTCTATTCTAGGTTTCTAGCTATTATTCAATTTAGTATTTAAAACAGAAAAAGCACAGCTGCGTATTTGTTTTTCTAATAATCTCAGAGAATATATATTACTTTTTTATTTCTACATTAAAAGTGTAAAAAAGTATAAAAGTGTGAACTGTCCAGTTTAAGAAAGAGCCTTTTAAAGTGCCACTGCAAACAGGAAAAACTCCTACTTTTGAGAGCAGTAACGACGACGTTATGTAGAAAGTTACAATGCACTTGCAATAATTAAGATGGATATGATTATAAGGCAGCTGAAAATAAAGCTGTGCTTGGAACACCATGCTAACAGGAGGACTGCTTAATTAGATGTGTTCTGAAATAAATATTGGATGCCATTTGAGTTCATAAAGATTAATAGATAGTTAAGGGCAAGACACGCTAAGGAATCACTGCAGAGGGGTAGCTGGGGTAGGAGAATCGCCTTCCTCTTAGGACACGGCTGCCTTAGGACACGTAAAGCAGGGAGCACTGCAGCCCTGCAGGGAGGAGGTCAGCCCAGCCCGGGAGGGTTCAGCCACCCTCGTTATCTRGAATGCAAATCGCCTGCCATTAACTGTGCAGGAACGAGCTGTCCTGCCCCTGCCCTGCAACCTGCTCCCTGCCACCCAAGCAGCGCAGCTCTCACGGGAGTTTTGTCCACGCTCTCTTCTTCTATCCCGTTGATCTAGCTGGGTGCGAATCTTCTGTCTGCCTTGGCAAGAGAGGCTGGAGGCCAAGGAGCTCAAAAATATCAAGAAACTTGTGTGCTGTCATCCTCTGTTCTGCTGGCGAGACATTGAGCAGGATCCGGAAGATATTTTATTATCTCAAAGTCCTGGCCTGCAAAACTGGCACAGCAGCAGCTTAACTTTTTTTCATAAAATATTTTCTATCAGTGGGTAAATAGGTACTTAATGTAGAACTGCTGCAAGCCTTTTTGGTCTGCTGTGAAAGAGCCTTCTTGGAGGTCTTCTAGAGACAGCAAAGCTGCTCCTCAAGTATTTTATACAGCAGGTGGGTTTAGGGCAAATAAGAAAAATGGGGAGATGGAGTTGGGCTTTTCTGCATAAAAGATGGTCAGAAAAGCTAAATAGAACATTAAGCTGATCAACAGCTTGAAATAGATGATTCTGGTTTCCAAGCAAGCCTTCCAATCAGGAATGAAGGTGGTCAAGCCCCTGTTTTCTGCCCCTGGAGCACCAGTGTCAGCCTGGCACTAACCCAGGCCATTCCTGGCTCAACTCTACCACCTGCTAAAACAAAAGCTCATCATCAAAGTCCCCCTCCTCCAAAAGCAGATTCCAGTGCTAAACTCGGCACTGAGAGTTGATTCAAAGCTTGTTGAGGTGCAAACGGATCCACTTTGCTTTCCGATTGATTTGGGGTGAAAGATTAGGGGTTTGTGAACACAGATGATTSGGTCTTTGATGTTGCTGCAGAGCAAATTGATAAATATTTGATTTTGAGCGATATTAACCAATACCTRCATGGTCTGGATTAGTTAATGTCATTTAGTGCATTTAATTTTAGAACAGTTTCTTTTTACACAGTAAAATCTTTTGTTGTTCAAGATCAATGGAAAGAAAGCAAATAAAATACTGCAAATGAACATATTGGGTTTTTGAAAGTGCACGGGGTTACAGCATGGAAAGAAATATTGATTTTATTTCTTTTCAATTTAATGATATGATAGCAAAAGAGATAACTAAGGAAGAAATGTAAAGAAACTCTAGTGTGAAACAGATTCAGATTAGTGGAACTACTGGAGATCTGAATGATCTTCTCTGCTCCAACGATAACAGTTCAATTGGTTATATATGAAAAAGTATGTATGAATGTTTGCAAATGCCTTCTAGCAATTTTAAATAATTTTAGAGGTATTTCCAACCTGCACCTGAAAGKAAGTGTTTTTAACAATTTGCTTATGTAGAGATATCCTATCTTTAATCCTGAGCAATGACAAGAATGAAGACCTTTGTCAAATAAGACATAA